TTATTTTTTATTATTTATTATAAATAACAATAAACATGTTATTTTTAACCACTTGTTAATTACATACAAGAGCCCTCCCCCCTTTTAGAATGTTTTGTTCACTTTGGCATGGCATCTTAATACCTACATAGACTAGATTTTTTAATGTGAAAATATCATACATATAAGACACTCATCAGTGTATGAATGGTTTAAACAATAATAAAAAAAATACTTGTGTATTTACCACACAGTTTAAGAAAGAGAATATTCTTGTTTGGCATTTTTATTCCTTTGCTTTACTTTATGGTTTTACTGCACTTGGATGTGTCCCTAAGTAATATATTTTCTAGCTTTTTCATTTTTGAGTGCAATAGAAATGGAAATCATACTGTATGTATTCTTTCTAATTTTCTTAGCTCAACATATTTTTGTGAAATCTATCCATGTTTATGTTAAAACGATTACATTCATTTTCACTATGGTATCATCTTATAATGTATTGATTTTCATGTTGATGGACCTTTATTTTGTTTCAGTGGGATTTTTCAAACTGTGGGTCATGAACAATTAGTAGGTTTTTCATTTTTAAAAAATGAAGTACATTAGAAAATGTCAGTATACATATACATATATATGTGTGTATAAGTGTAATAATAAATGTAGTATAAAGGGTGGGGCAAAATAGGTTACAGTTGTTCATATGGAAAATAATACAACAATTAATTAATAATATTACAAAAATAAACTCTGTTTCACATACTCACAACTGTAAACCTTTTTCTCCCAACCTGTATATACACATATAAATGTAAATTCATGTAAAAACATATGTAAATATATGTCTCTGTGTGTTTATTTTCTGAATTGTGATATAAAATGTGTTTCTTACTGTGACCTCTGCCAAAAATATTTGAGAAGACACCTGTAGAGAGTGCACCTACGAATGAAATTGCAGAGCAAAGGGTATTTCCCCCCTATAAATCTAAGGATAACTTAACTTGACATTATATTTAAATAAGCTTCCAAGTGAGAGCTTGAAGTCCCAGGACTTTAATGTTAAAGAAAATTATCACCTAGAAAATTTTGAATACTCAGTAATCATTAATCACAAATAATGAGTGTAACTCACTTAATTTTAGTAAAACTCATTTTTCAGAGTATGACCTAGAGAAAACACAATATCTATCCCAAGCCTTGTATTTTTTCAAATGTCAGATTGCTGTGGCAGAGAAGAATTTAAATTTTACATTGGACGTCATGCTTATTTTCTTTCCTCTTTCACCCCTCCTTTATTTCTATACTCTACCCCTAACACACACACAAACACTATTACAGCCTATTATATGAAATGTTGCACATTGTTCCTTGGCTTCTGTAGTTTTTCCTCATTACTCATAGCCTTGATATAGCTGACAAGTATAAATTCTCATCTGAGAATTTTATCAGATGTAAAGTGTATGGGCTTTCACTCTAAATTCTGTTTCTGCCATGATACCTTTATAGCTTTGGGCAGATTCACGTGAGCTTTGATTTCCTCATCTGCAAATTGAGAATAATAATAGCTACCTATGGCATATAGTGAGGATTAGATATATCATATATAAATTGCCTAGCACTTTACTTCATACATGGTATACACTCACTAGGTATTTGTTTCTCATTTTCCTATTAAGCCATTCATCTACTTCCTTGACCTGAGAAGATGGTAAAGGCATAATTTCAATAGATTGTTCTGATGTCATAGAGCTCTGAAGTGACAAATGACTCAGGTGCATATCTGAGTTGAGCAAATAAAGGATTATAGCTAGTTCTTACAATAGCAAAAGGTAATGACTAACAATTCTGGGAAGATCTTATCTGTGTCAGTGTTGGCAGCTCTGGGTGTATATGGTAAAGATAATATGGAGACCCATTTCCTGGGGCATGTAGACTGAATATGTCCTCCCCCCCCC